GGGGGGGCATATCCCCCAACCACCCTATGTTCGTAGTACCGCTCCCCACCCCCATTTAACAGCGTATGTATAAAAGCGGCTTCCTCAGTCACCACGGCTAGATGTTGATACCCTTTTAAACTTGAGTTGTGGTCAGAAAACGTAATAAATACGATCTTCCACCGAACATCTGCTTTTTGTTTCCAGACGTATTTGCGGATGTGGCAGGGACCAGAATTTACTACGCCCCAAATTTTCTGTCAAATTAGTCCAAAATGTTACTAAAATGTAACCACTACGACCCTGTCACAATAACCTATACGTGTATAATATTACTACTCCGTACATCTCCACACTTACGTGTCATTTTCGGTCTTTCAGCACCAAAACCAGGAGAAAAACGTCACAACCGTCTGCTGGAGTTTGTCCTGCGTCTGTGGGTTCCTGCAAAAAGGTGTCACGTGCTGTCGGTCCTCCACGGGCTATCGAGCCTCCCCTTCCCATATATGGAGATCCTTACCATAAATGGACATCGGCGGACAGGGCCTAAATCTATTGCAGTTACTTTCCATTACGTTTATAACCCGACCATTTCATAATCGATTATGTGTAATCCTCCTAGCGTATAGTATGTAACAAGTAGCCTATATAGAGTAAAGATTTGCAAGTGTGGCAAGGGGCGCTTGATAGCTCTGGGGGCTGCTTTGTCCGTAACACCGGCACTACTTTCACTCGATCAAATCAACCAATCAAATATCAGAATCGTGTCAGGTGATTGCTCTGGACCAATCACATCGAAAAAAGCGCCCACTAACGGATTGCCAAAAAGAGCAGACAAGAAGAAAGGTTTGTGTGTTATTTTGTCAAATTTGATAATTTGTTTGGGACATTGGACCTTTGTAACGTCAAATGCATCGGAGTCATGACTTACGTTTAATCCTATACCAATCCATGCTCATACAGAACCTTGAAGATTCAGCAAACAACAATGTTTGACTAGAAATTATGACCACATGGGTGAAGGGGGTGGGCAGTAGTGGTTACATACTAACACAGTAACACACACATGTGGCTGTGTGGCCTGGATGCCAGACCCACGGCCCACAGCACAACTTCAACTTGTAGCCAAGTGTTTTCTGGTCATTCTTAATGTACAAATAGTACTACTACAAATATTGGCTTTTCATTGACATCATAATAAATTATCATATTTTATCATATGAATCTCATTGGCCAGGTGTTGGCGGGTGAAAATTAATGAAGGAGGGTCTGCATGGGGGGTAGTTATTACGAATTACGCAAAATTTCCGCCGCTGATTACGAATTACGTTGAATTCTCAGAGCTGATTTCCATGTTACGACTTTACGCTTTGCAGCTTATGTACTATTACAAGTTATGTTGAATTTTGGGAAGGCTGCCTACGGATTACGAAGACTAAAAAGGCCTGATTACGCCTTACAAAAAAGGGCATGCAGGCCCCCATGAAGTAGCAACATGTTAGCTGAGACCAAATTCTATAAGTCCCCTGGGTTGTTGTTGTTGTACTCCACAAGTTTGATCGTACTTACTTTACTTTATCTGGCCGCTTCCTTTGTCGTGGGGAGGTGGATATTTATAAATATCGTCACAGTTTAATCTGTCTCATTTTCTCACTCTTAGGACATAATAGAAGTGCCCATCATGCCTAAGCACAAGTCCAAGGCTTATGTGTCCGACAGTGATGACTCGGACATATCAGATGACGAGGTAAGACTGACAACATTTTAATCATCAACATAATGACAACAATAGTAGTGTCCTTGTATTAATATGATGAGCAAATGATACTGTTTGTTGATCACAAAATCCAGAGGTTGGAAAGTCAAATCTCCAAATTATCCCTGGTTTCCTAGTAACCTGAAGTGACTACAATTAAGGGGGGCCTGCAAGGGGGGTCCTGACAACGCTCTACGCTGAATTCGGAAACTTCTCGATTACGCTTTACGATAAATTCCAAGTGGCCACAACGCATTACGTAGAATTAAAACGGCAAATACGCTCTACGCAAAATGCGCCAATTACGCCCTACGTTGAATTAGAGCGGTCCCTCTACGCTCTACGTAGAATTAAAACGGCCGAATATGCTCTACGGAAAAGGGCATGTGGGGCCCCATTAAGCTCTCAGATTGGGGTCAATTAGCTCTTCAGTCCATGTATGTGGGACACTCGTGATTCACGCACCTATGATTCATTTATAACTTTATCCATTAGAAATATATTACATTGAAGTTAATTTAGAGTGAAGTTGTGACAAATCTGGCTCCATTATTTGTAAATTTGGAATAAATGTACTCTTGAACTTGCCTTTTGAACCTTTGCCATGTTCGGCTTGTATTTTCAGAAAGCAGCGAAGAAAAGAAAATTGGAGAAAAAGAAGAAACAGGCTGAAAGGGAAGAAGATGAAGGCAGTGATATGATTCAGGTAAGATAATTTTGGGGGCTGAATTCAGTTTTGTGGCGTTTTCAGTAATTAAATTACCAACTTTCATTTGATGTTTTCAATTGTCTTTATTCATGAAAAAGATGACTGAAAATACAAATGATGCCTTCAAAACTTTCAAATTCAAAAGTCAACATCTGCCTTTGCTTCTTTTTACCTTCAGTTATCTAACAAGCGCTACGTCAGTGTACGTGAGTTTAAGGGGAAGTGCCTGATAGACATCAGAGAGTACTATGATGCAGGTGGAGAGCTCAAACCAGGAAAGAAAGGTAAGACTAAGAAGTGTTCAGAAAAGTTTTACTTCTGCATTTGTTTCAATAGACTGATGCAATGAATGATGAGCAAAGCGGTTGCCATAGACAGGTGGTCTTATACTAACTTATAGACATGTTTCCACCAGACCAGTGCTGAGAGTCTGTCCTCTCAAGGAATAGTACATTCTATTCTGGATAAGTGTGGTCGCATAATGTGAGACCATAAGGCACTTGACAGTTGTGTAGTGTAGTGATTCTAAGACTTAATTTTTAAGAAGAAAATCCTACTAAAACAGCCTCCTGAGACTCTCACAACCTGCTTCATTTTGTGTGATGTTCAGTCATGTGAACCAAACTTAGTGTCATCAAGGTGGTTAAGGTTAAGCCCTTGGCTGAGCGAATTTTGAAAATGAATTTTACCAATAAAACGAACATCTAAAGATCTAGTACTGACTGTCACAATACTTAACTTTAGACTCATAGACCTTTTTGATTGTAATCACTAAAAGTTTTTTTAGGGCCAATGGTTTTGTCATTACAATTCCAGGCATTTCACTGACCACTGACCAGTGGCGCAGGCTTAAGGAATCCATGGACGACATTGATGAGAAAATCACAGATCTTGTTGGATGACTGTCTGTTTCGTTGGCAATGGTGTGCCTCCTGTGTTGTGTGTAGATGTAGTACATGTAGCTGTAGTGTATAGGCCTTTTCCCAGATCCTATTAGTATTACATGCTGGGAGATGCATGACACTATGTGAAGCACAGGGGCAAGCAAAATCATTACCATGTATGTATCGCACAGCCTGGTTGCCTGGTTCCTCCGTAGTATCCGCTGGCTCCATAATGTCGCAGGCTGTGGAAATTATGGAGAAAAGCACCCAGGCCATGTATCACATACACATTGTAATGGGATTGTTTGGCCCCTAAGCTGTTCATTGTCTCCCAGAGATCTGTGAAAAGGTCTTGGGTTCTTTGCAGTGTGTTGCTTTGGCATAACTACTCTGTGACTTTGTGTTCATACTTAATTTTCACAAGCCTTGAAATATCTCCAAGGCAACTTCTACTACTAGTGACATTTTGCTTTCCACTATCTTTACATCCTTGGTTCAGGTCTTCAGTTCAGTCTTCTTTGGCAACTCTCTGTTTCATCCCTCTCAATCTGAAATGTTTCCTGATATTAACGATATAGCAGTAGACATTTTGCTCTGAATGAGTTTCGGAGTAAACATGTTACAGTTACAGAATTCACTCACTGCTTGCATGGTTCATTATTCCCTGTATCATGACAAAGATGAAGCATACATGATGCAGGTCATTGATATCAAT